GAAGTAGTGTTCCAGAATTTTGACAGCACAGAAACCTCAACTTACAACAGCTGTATCTCACAATTTATAATAGGTATTGAGGTGATTCTAGAGTTAATAGAAATATGTAGAAGTCTACTTATCTCCATAATTTTTTTATGATCATTTGACATTTAGAACATGAGATATGAACTGATAAAGTTGGACTGCTCAGAATGATACAGAATTGACAGCATGATAAAACGAAACCCAACTATTTATTCAAATTTTCCTTAAGCCTTAAGCTTAACTAAATGACCGTGGACATGCCCACAAGTCATCATAATCATAACAAAGATCCAAATCAAACATTGTTCATTATGACAATCATCCAACCATGCAAGTAACACTTGTTCAACCATTAAAAGAAAGAAACTAAACACTCTCTCGCGCATCTATGCGTGTTTATTACATATTTTTAAGACTTCCTCCTATGGGTCGATGTTGGTGCTAGTGTTGAGGTCTCCAAATTCTCCTCTGTTCCTCAGGGGCGACTGAGTAGGTACACCTGGCGCTTCCACATTTGGACCTCCTTGATGTTGCTTTAGTGTAGCATTCGCACGGGCAAGCTGCAGATATGCCTTCCCCATAACATCAAGCTCGTCCAGGGCCTGATCCAAGTCAGTGTTGGTCTAAGCCAAGCACAACAGGGTAGGCCTCAGCCTCAGGTTCACCTCTCCAAGTGGTGCAGCGATGTTGCAAGTAGACTGGCTGCTCCGACAGTGGGGAAGATAACGGTCCTCCCAGGCGATGTCGTCGAAGTGGCGGTTGCGGTTGACCACCAACGCCTATCAAGCTGCATCCCTGATGGCGGCTGCATGTGTGAGTCATGCAGTGATGGCGTGGTGGATGTAGCGCACCCGAGTCCCCTCGCTGATGTACACTTCTATCTCCTAGAAGCCGGTGTAGTCGGGGTGGGTCCAATGCTCCGTCCTGTACTGAATAGTGCATCTAGTGTGGTAGCGGCGTACGAGCGAGACAAGCTTGGGGTGGTAGTAGGCATCTCCTTGTAGATCGTAGTGGATCTCCACGGTCCACCCTTGAGCCAGCAATGCATCATGATCATCATCACCCCCATTTCCACCATCTCCTCCATCATTACCACCATCACCACCATTACCATCTCCACCATCATCACCTCCATCATCTGAATTAGAACTGTTAGAATCATCTCCATCATTTGGGTCACCAGCTCCCTCCTGGCCACCCTGTCCATTTTCTTCCATGGGTTCTTCCTTGGACTCCTCTATCTTAATGGGCTCCTCAAACATGGGCCCTCTTCTATTTCTTCATCCATGGGATCTTCCATCACGTCCTCCAGAGGTTCCTCCATAGGCACTTCCATAGGAGGTTCCTCCTCCATGCTCCTTAGAGCTTCCACCCGATGTGCTGGAACGCGCTTGCCAAAAGTGAACCTGGTCCTCCTGGTGGGCATCACGATGGTCCTCTTGCGGGGTGTCAGCTTGGTGCGAGCCATCTATAAGAATGAAAAGGTTGAGTATTAGAATAAAATAATTTTTGCAACAGATAAAGAACAAAATATAAGCAAAAAATTTATAGCAAATTAAAGGTAGTAAAATAAAGATAATGTGATCCTAAAAATGCCCATTTCTAACTTGGTTGATCGTCCTACAGTCAGTTATAGCTTTGATACCAATTTGTCGCACCAATTTTGCATAGCAAAACCAAGTACTCATATATGTGCACCCATTATGTCCAAACACACACATATATCACAAATTGTAATAGCATCAAAGTAAAGTACTTATTTTTTTTCTAGAATACGCAGGAGAGTTGCGTATCATTGCATTAAGAAAGGGGATAAAAGGCTTATATAGCCATACAACAGCACACACACCAACTTTACACACCGTCTCTAGGTTACATATGCGCCTGTTAAAAAAGTAAAAAGTCGACCTCCCTCAACAGGCGCTGCTAAACCCTAGGTCCAGCAGCGACCAGTTCACTAATGCCTTTAGCGCCTGCCAACCTCCAGAGAGCGGCTTCTTCTTGTGCAAGGAGAAGCACCTGCTCTATCCTAGGAGAGGCACCATTGAACACAATATCATTTCTCTCCTTCCAAAGCATCCAGGCTCCTAGCATGACCAATGAATTAAACCCTCTCTTGGTTCTTTTGTCAAGAGTGCTACCAGCTTGTTGCTACCAGTCAAAGAACCCAGTGGCAGATGGCTGAGGTGCAATATCTAGGAGTGCAAAGGTGCGAAGTAATTGAAACCAGAATTGCTGAGAGAAGACACAAGAACAGAGGAGGTGTTGAATGGTTTCATCCTCTTGGTCGCAGAAGGGGCAGTGCTCAGGATGAGGAAGACCTCTTCTAGCAAGTCTATGAGCTGTCCAACATCGATTATGTTAAACTAACCAAAGGAAGAATTTGCACTTCCTGGGACCCCAATTCTTCCAAATTAGAGTGCTCAGCTCAAACTAGACTGCTCCAAGGAACAAAGCCTCATATGCTGTCTTAGTTGAGAATTGACCTGAAATGTCCAATTTCCACTTATGAACATCCTCAACCTCTAGCAGGAGTAATGTTTCCTGAACCAAGTCCCAAATGTCCAAGAATTCTGATAGGACCTCCACTGAGTGGTGCCCCTGGATATCATGTACCCACTGATTGTCCATTAGTGCTTCCTGAACTATACGTTTCTTAACCCGCCTCTTGGGTACAGTTGCAAATAAATTGGGAGCTAATAGCTGAACAGAGGACCCTTGTAACCATCGATCAGTCCAGAACTTGGTGTTCGCCCCATTGCCAACTTCCATAGTTACAACAACATCAAATAAGGCCTGTGCATTCCCATGAACTATGACCGGGAAGGCAGCCCATGGCTTATCAGGTTCAGTTTTACTCAACCACAACCAACAGACCCTGAGTGCCCAACCAAATCTTTGAAGGTCTAAAATGCCCAAGCCACCAAGCTCCTTTGGATGGCTCACCTTGGGCCAAGCTAATAAACAGTGACCACCTTTTGCCTCCTTCCTACCTCGCCACAAGAAATTATGACGGATCTTATCCACCGCCTTTAGGCACCATGGAGGAAGATCCAAGGCAAGTCATGAAATAGATTAGAAGCGAGGTGAGAACCGATTGCACATATATAGCATGACCATTTCGATTCATCAACTCAGATTTCCAACCTGGCAGATGGTCAGCCACCTTCTCAATCAGAGGTTGTAAGTGTGTCTTAGACAGCTTCTTGATGGCAAGAGGAAGGCCAAGATATTTGTAGGGAAACTCCTGAACTACACATGGAAAATGAGTCTGAGCCACAGCCAAGTCTTCATTTGAACATTGAATAGGAGAGACACTGCATTTCTAAATATTTGTTATTAGTCCTGAAGATGTGCCAAATAGCCATAACAGTGCATCCACCACTTGCAAATCTGTGGCGACTGGGCAAAGAAACAGTACCACATCATCAGCATAAAGGGATACACGATGATGAATATTCCTAGTGGAAATTGGCTGCGGCAACCCTTCAGTGCTCACCTTTTCAATCAATCTATTCAGGACATCCATGATAAGGATAAAAAGCATAGGAGAGAGTGGGTCACCTTGCCGAAGTCCACGCCGATGATATAAAACCTCACCGGGACCCCATTGAGAAGCACCCTAGTTGATGATGAGCCAAGCAAGCCACTGATCATATCCTGCCATTTATGCCCAAAACCCCTTCTCTCAAGAACCTCCAAAAGAAACGGCCAGGAAACCGAGTTGAAGGCTTTAGAGATGTCCGGCTTCAATAGAATGCGTGGGTCGCATTCATTGATGCAAGAACCTGGCCGTCTGGTGGACAAGTATGAAATTATCATGAATACAACGCCCTTTCACAAAAGCACTTTGATTGGATGACACCAACTCACCGAGTCTTCACGCTAAGCGGTTTGCCAACAATTTTATGACCAACTTAGCAAAACCGTGGATAAGACTAATTGGTTGAAAGTCCTTAATTGAGGAAGCATCATCTTTTTTGGGCAAGAGGGTTAGCGGTCTTTGAGTTAAGAAGCTACATGTTCCTAAAATTCCCATGTTTGCATCACCTGATATAGCGACCATTAAATCGATTTGATAAGCGGCCAAACATATCTTGTAGAACATACATGTATCCATCTAGGCCTGGGGCCTTATCTGGAGGCAAATGCTTGATGGTGTTCAACACCTCATCCTCCGAAAAAGGCAGTTCCAGGTCGGCCAAATCAATTTGGCTTAAGTTAAGCTCTTGAAGGTTGATGGTCAGATCTTGCTGGCCACTTGTGCCCAACAACTGATCATAGAAATAAAAAATTGCTGCAGCCTTATCCTCATGGCTAGTCAGCACTTAATCATCTACTATTATTTGTGAGATGAAATTTTTGCGCTTCCTATGACGAACATGAGCATGAAACAATGCTGTATTAGCATCCCCATCTTTCAACCAGTTAATCCTTGACCTGACCCGAGCAATTGTTCTCTGCATAGAACTCAAAGCTAGAGAATGTTTTTTCAAAGAGTGCAGCAACCAAAGCTCTCCTTCTGATAGCTGTCTGCTATCGAGCAATTTCAAGTTGGTGGATAATTTCTCTGGCAATACCAAGTTGAGCACCAATGTTTCCGATGCATTTCTGACTCCAGCTTTGTAAAGCTCGGGTGAGACATTTAAACTTCAGTGACAGAGTCTCTAGAGGACAAGCCCTTGCTTCTACTGAACCCCAGGCCTGACCAACCACTTCATGGAATCCCTCTAGTTTAGGCTAGAAAGATGCAAAGTGGAATATGCTCTTTCCAGGTAGCATGTCATTCAGCCCTATAATTGGAGGGCAATGATCTGAGTCCATGGAGGCTATACTTTGCAATAGACAATTTGAAATAAATTTTCCCATTCCATGGTAGAGAAAACCGGTCCAGCCTGCTGGGAGTGGGCGAATTACCGCCACCACTCCATGTGAATTTGCGCCCAATTAGGGGAAGTTCCTTGAGAGCCAAGTCATCCAGGGCCCTGATGGAAATGACACATCATAGCACGGTTGAGATTGGCATTGTTCTTATCTTCCTCCCTATAGATGAGGTTAAAATCCTCGACTACCATCCATGGGCCATGACAATGAGTGCGGATCAAGCGGAGTTCTTGTAAGAAATTGATCTTCTCCTCATTCCCTTGTGGCCCATACACACAGGTGAGCCACCATGGTTCGCTGTCAATGGGTAGAAATTGGACAGAAGCACAATGATTGTCCACCCAAAAATTCCCAGCAGTGCCAAGAGCTTGCTTCCATGCAACAAGTATCCCTCCACTAGCACCCACTGATGGTACGAATACAAAATGATAGAAAGCTAGACCTAGAGTAGATAGAACAAACCACTGAGATATGCCTTCCATCTTAGTTTCTTGAAGGCAGACTATGTCAGCTCTAATGGACTGGACCAACATTCGAACAGAGTCTTGATGAGTTGAGGAATTCAGACCCCGTATGTTCCAAACAAGAATCTTTGAAGGATCCATGTAACTAGTGAAAGACAGGATGACCAGGATGCTGCTCAGGAGGTAGACATCAGCACTCTAGGGCACTTATAGCCCTTAGGAGGTGACCAGCCAAAGAGCGCAGCGAGGGCCTGAACATGAGACGCTGAGAGGGGACCGCTGAAAAGTTTGACGTAGTCGACCATTGTCTTCTGATTGACACGCTCACATTCCCACTCAAAGCCAAGGGAATGCATGACAGTCTTGCGAGAGCTGACATCCAAAATACCAGGGAGCTCCGCTTCCAACCCCGCTGTCCTCCCGCTTCTATGAGGAACAGAGGTGGGGGGAGGAGCCCTCAAACGTCTCTTCGGTACTGTGGGTGGCTGGGGAATTAGGCCCTCTGTGTTCTTGGAGAGCTTGTCAATAAAAGCTTTCTATGCCGTGGTCACCGAGGAATCAGGGCATGGCCGCTGACAGGAGTAGACGCGGATCCCTGGTATCGAGTCGCCCGATGGCCGCGGAACGGCAGCTGGCCTTCCCTCCAAGTGGGGCCTCAGAGCGCATGGCTCGCCCGGTACAATTGTAGGCCTTGCTGTAGCTTCATAGGATAGGGCAGTTGCTGAACTTGGAAATTGTGCCTCTGGAAACTTGACAGACTCCAACAGAGGGCTAGCCTTGGCTGCACAAAATTGGGCCTCCTGTTCCTCAACCATGGCGTCACATGTTTGGGCCTCCAATCCATTAGCCCCGAGTGGGACCAGTCTGGACTCCCGGCTTACATCCATAGCCACCACATTGACTTTAGGGGGTGGGTCACGAGACGAGTTTTCCATTGACTACTCCTCGGGGCTCATGATGACCTTGGGCTGCCCTTTGGTCTCGTTCACCGCATCTGCCAGCATAGGAGGGAGGAGTCCTGTCTGTCATCCCTACCGCCATAGGGAGAGGCACGAACCTTCTCGGAACTGGTAGTGGCCACCTAGCATAGGAGGCGAGGGGGCTTCCAAGGATATTCCTGTGGCCGTCATAATGTCACCAGGAAGTGAGTCCAAGACGAGGAGGTACGTCTGTCATCCCATCCACCGTCAGGGAGAAGATCGGTCCTCCTCGGAATCCACCGTGGCCACCAGCACAGGAGGCGAGATGGTCCCTCCATCATCACTGCCACCACAGGGAGATAAACGGTCCTCCTCGGAAACTAGCGAGAGGCCGGCACGAGAGCTATGTGGGCCGATGCGCCATCAATGCCCCCGCCAGAAATCGAGGCGCTTCATGGGGGAATGGGTGGGCCAAACCTAGCATGCACCGGTCCCCGTGTCACCGCGGCACCCTCCTACGCCACTATCATCGGCGAGTCGCGTCGCCATCTGCGACGCCTACGCCGGCGACTACCGCCAAGCCAGAGGTGAAGAAGAAGGGTGATCCACCAAGGGATGTTGTTCCTCCATGACGCCGAGACATCAATTGGGTAGACAAGAGAATGCTTCACCGAGAACTCATCGCCAGCAACCGGTGGCTCCACGATCTCTAATTCCATCTTAGATACATCACATATCTCATCACAATGTTAATACAAAGTTTGCTCAATGGCAATATTATTACATACACAACGGAATAACTAGCCCAATCTACCACAGGGACTCCAACTGGTGAACATCTCCCTAGTAGTCCTGGACATCCTCTTAAAAACTCTTCATATCCATTATCTATTACCCATCTAGGATTTTCATTGGATGTAAAGCAAGTGTAAGCTCACCATGCTTAGCAAGTATATCAAAGGGATCTATGAGGCTCAAAGGCTTGACACGATTTGACTGTGGTTCACAATTTTAGTTGATCAAGTTTTAGCATCCTGAATCACTACTTTAGTGAACAATCCCAAATCCCAAGTGATATTAATATATAATCAAGTTTATATCAATTTTCATCCATCCATAGTAACCACTAATCATGAAGGATCAAGACTGCTCACATCCGTGAGCACGGCTGCTATAACAGGTCAAATATTTCTATAGAAATTGTACAACTTTACCCACCGAGCCGTGATTCCCAATGCCAGGGTTTGCAAAGCCCACTACACCTCTACCTAGGAAGTGTGGCAGGGTTTCACTATGTAACCCTTAGCTAGTCTCACTAACAAGTTGTAGCTGCTAAGGTTTTAGTCGTCTAGCCATATGTGGCCCTCCTCTAGGAGTGGTGTGCATGGGCATGCGGCACGGTACACACACCCTAGCAGGTAAGGAAACATACCAACTAGTGCCCCCTCTTGCCCTTACGAAAAGCTACAGGCGAGCTAGTACAATCTAGTTAAGAGGTTAAAGTCAGAGCCATATGACACTCGGGGTTGTATGAAACCTCCTGGGTGGCCGCTTTAGGATTAAGTCCTTATGGAGAGGCACTAGAGTACTCAACCCCGTACTCTAGCCCCCTAATTATTGCTAAAAAGCATCATGTTATCATGTTGCATAATGTATTTAGTCATGTTTAACTTTTATTCTATGTTAAGCGCTATAGCATCTATCCAAAATGCATACCCAAATCCCTAGGTAACAAGGATATGTGGTACAAGTAATCATCTAGGTAAAGTCCTTAAAGGTTTATCAAATTAGACACATGCATGAATATGAAGTGTAATAATTCATAGTTACAAGGGGCCTTTGGTACACTTGCCTTCTTCAAAGTTGTCCTGGGAGTACTGCTGATCTTGTTGTGGGTCCTCAGTCACCTCAAATGGCTCACCCTCTAATCATGTTCCAAATCACCAATCAAGCATCATTCCAATCATTACATGCATACAAATAAACTTCTATTAGAACAGTATGCCAAATAGTATAAACATAAGTTGAAAAGCTTATAAATCTATTCTAGGTACTACGACGAACACGTGAGCGAAAGAATCACTCAAATAGGACATAAAACGATAAAGTTACGCATGAAATAAGGTGCAATGGCATTTCTGTAAATAAACTGAACTTATTTTTGAATTAAAACAATTAAAAATATGAATTTACACGGCTACTGGACTGCGCATACTATTTCTAGAAAATACTGGGACCTAAACAAATAAAAACATGACTAAATTGTATTTATTTTGAACTATTATGGACTGCGGGTTAATTCACCAAAAACAGAGGGGCTTTTCTGAAAAATATGTGTGGCTTGACTGCAGGTTGACCACGCTGCTGACTGGATCGATATGTGGTATGTGCGGACTGGCTCGGTGCACCACGTGGCGTGGTGGACTCGTTGACGCGGCACCGTGGGCCGGTACCTGGGTCCACGGTGGACTGGTTACACATTGAAGCGGTACGCTTCAATCGTGGCCGTCCACACAAAATCTAGCGGTGCTGTTGTGATCGGGTGATTCCCCGCCACTGTGCAGTACCGCCGGCGAACCCGCCATTGCTGGCGGCGAGGCAGACACGACGGTGAACAATAGGATGGTGACTCCGGCCATCCCAACCCAAACCAAAAGCATGTATGTGATCAACAGGACCTTGCGAACACACCGGGATGCAAATCGAGGTGGGGAACACGCCAGAGCATCGGTTCCACAGCGGTGCCATGGCCGGCGGCGTCTGGAGGTCACCGGTATGGCGTTCTAGAGTGCAAAATGATGAACGGAGGGTAGGGGAAGGACGAGGAGCTCACCACGAGTCAGTAGGAGGGAAGCGTGGTGTCCGGGAAGGTCTCTGAGGCACGGGTCATCGGGGGCGGCGAACTAGAGAGAGAGTGGCACAGGTGAGTGGAATCTGAGCAAATCAAGGACAAAACGATGAATTGGAGTCACCTACGGTTGCAGGAGAACATGGCGGAGCTCCGAGTCACGTCGGCGTCGAGGTTCGAGGCGCCAGAGAGGTGAATTGACGACGGCGGTGGCGTGCTCGAGCGCGGACAGAGGAAAGGGGAGAAGAAAGGGGTGCGGCTCGGGTTTTATAGGTCGGGCGAGGCATGGTGGATGGAAGGGGAGCGGAGCACTAAGGCAGGATTGGCCGCCTACCTTGCATGCACGACGGCGGCCGCCTACCAAGCCTGGTAGCGCCATCGGCGGGCAACAAAGAAGGAAAGGAGCGCTGGGGAGATGAAAGGAATGGGGCGCGGGGTGGCTGATGTGCGGGGCCAGCGGCGCAGCGAGAGAGAGAAGGGAGAAGGGAGCGTGTGCGAGCGAAGGCCGAAGTGGAGCAGGCCAAGCAAGTCGGGGAGCTGGGTGGGCCGCGCACACATGTGCTGTGCAGTGCGAAGAAAAGGGCGCTGAGCGGGCTGCCGAGTGGGCTAGAGCGGAGCAGGCTGTGCGGAGCAGGTTGTGCGCGGAAAAGGAAGGAGAAGAAGGGTGGGCTGCTGGGCCGCCAGGCAGGCCGAGCTAGGAAGGGGAGAAAGGAAAAGGGCTAGGCCGGTTCTAGGGTTGGGCTGAAAAGGAAGAAAGGTATTTTTTTTCAAAATCAAATCCTTTTCTAATTCTAGATTTCAAATCCCAAGCCAAATTCAAATGGAATTTGAATTCAACTTCAAACCAACTAGCCCTACACTCAACCAAAAACAATATGCTTCGGCATGAATGCAACAAACATGTTTCTAAATCTTATAGTTAATTTTATTTAACCAAAATTTATTATTTGGCCTAAGTTAAAAATACATAGAAAATTAAATAAATGCTCAAAATTAATTGCTAATTTGCAGTTAAAATTTTTGGGTGTTACAACTCTATACACTGATTTATAACAAAACGGGTACCAAGTTAAGTGTTAAGTTTAAGTCTAATGTTTAAAGTATAAGATGAGATCAAGGGGGAGAATGTTAGTACTGATCTCTTCTGACTCGGTCCAACGACCGAGTCGGAGTCCTTGATCGCGCCCTGATCGGGGGCGCCTAACCCTACATGGTTGGTGAGCCCCTGTTGCGTAGCACTATAAAAGGGAGGTGGGGGCTGCGGGGGCATGCATGCTAAGGTTCACCGTGTCCCACTAAACCCACCTACAAACCCTACCGATATAGGAAGCGCTGAAGCGGCGGGAAGCGCCGCCACCGACTCCGTGATGCCA